TAAGTMATCCCAGTTATASAGTGATGAGATTTAATCATTTTTATGTTTTGGAAGCTTTCTCTTTGTGCTTAAATGCAGCTAAGTCATTAGGAGCCTCAAATATTACTTGTAGATCATTGAACAGAGACAACAGGCCAGTTTTTTCAGTTGTTCTCTACAAACATGACTGCACTGCACTCCACAGCATGGGGAAGTTGTATTTAAAAAAAAACCCCAAACTTGGGTACTTGAAACATAAACCTGTAGTAGTATGGAACTGCAATGCAGCCTAATTTATTATTTGCTGAGATAAGCCTTAAAGACAGGCTCCTACACTGTCTTAAATTATATTACCCACTTAGGTAAAATAAAGATTATTTCACAAGCATTCAAACAGCTTCTGCGGGTTCTTTAAGAAGCGTCTGTACCTCTGAATTTTTTTTATCAGACCTGTAGAGTTTTGTAAGTGAGGCATGTTGCAAGCATGTTTCTTTACAAGGTACTAAGGAAAGAGCATTTTCTGCTACAGGAACAGCCATCCAGTCTGTATTTAATATCCTCCTGAGACTGCCATGCTGGCAGGCACTCTCAGTTTCACAACTCAGAGTCCTCCAGCAGCTGGGTTCTTTTGGGTAAGTTTAAGCTGTTCTGGTTCCATAAAATATGCCTTGAAAGAAGAGTTTCACTTAAGACACTACAGGTATGCARTGTGTATAGGGGACACATGTGGCCRTAAGACTGCCACATCAYGYAYAGGGGTATTTACATGCCAGCTCTTGACAGCACATGAACAACACAGGAGGAGTCATAGTTAAGTGTAAAGGTAACTAACTCTTTGCCATAATTTGGGATCTTAGTATGGAATGAWGTTGTTCAAAATCTCTGGCCATGGAGAATATAAGTTTTGCCTAAATCTACAGCACTACATTTTCTGCTACTGTGCTGGGCATATCAGTCTTCACAGGCCAGGAGCACTTACGTGCTACTGAACCKGCAGAACAGCCAGGCTGAATAAAATTTTGGGTTTGGACTCTTGTGTTCTATCTCAGTGGACAGATAGTGCCTTTTGTTGCAAGTGTTTGTGTGAAAATGCAGTTGCATTTACAGTGACTGTAATTTCAATGAAGATTTTTTTCACTAAATGTTTATTTTAACAAAACCTACTGCCATATTCTAATGTGTGCATTGGCCAGCTGAATCTTGTGTGATCAGCTGGCCACGACTGTCTTCAGCAGACTTTATGATAAGGTGAACCAGACCAAACACTATTGTTGTTTTCCTGTGCAGTTCCTGAGGAATGGAGAAAGAAGTACTTTGAAACTAAGAAAGCTACAGTTTCACTGGCGGAGACTTGGAACAAACTACGACAAGATTTAGAGCTTTACCACCGGAAATTGCTCTTGCAATTGGAAACCAGAGAGAGCCGAAAATGACCAAACAATACAACAAACTCCAAGGTATTTGCTTGTATTATTTATTATCTCTTTTTACACAGTCTGRGAGTTTTTTGTATGAAGTATAAATTAAAGAAACAAATTTATTGCCAGCCAATGGCTTGTGAACTAGCTTTGGCTCAATGATCTGAGAGACAGAATTCCTTCAGGCCATTTGTCTCAAAAAGACTACAGAAATGCTTGAGTGTGARCATTTGATTCTTTCTGCTTTGTGTTTGTACCTTCTTGTAACAAAATCCCCTTCTGTTGGGTATGGTTCAGTATGAATTGTTCAGTTCTACATTGTTTCCATCATCCCAAATTTCATACATGGAGGTAATGAATGTTTGAAGCACAGGAAACATATCTGTAGCTTTCAAAGTGGTTGCACCTGAACTAYTGTGCAACTGTGAGTTTCATAGGAAGTTCAGAGAGGGATTAAAAAGAAGAAAAGATAAAAGAAAAGAGGGAAACACCCTTTCCAACAGCTGTGTCTGCTAATTTTCTAAATGCTTTAAGCACAACTGTTAGCAAAAACTGAAGCCAGGGAAAAAGAAATGTCCCTTTATTACATCTGAAAGGTGCATGTATGTACAATCTGAGTGGGTATCATATACAAAGGTGTTGAGCTATCTTGAAATATCTACAAAAAGAAAAATATGATTAGAGTTGACACTGCATTACTGGCTATGTTCAGATCTGTCATTGCTCCTTTTGAGGGGCATATCAGGGGTGGGGTTTTTTAGGTCTCCCTGGCTGGGCACAAAGAGGCCTTACATGTAGGATGTGCTCAAGTTAACATTCCTACAGCAGTTCTGTCCTGTCCAGCGCCCAGAGATGGTAGCCAGGATTTAATGATTGAGCTGTCAGGCTCAGCACAAGGGTGCTCCCCACCCCTCGTGAGCAACGTGCTGGCCAGGCAGGCATCAGTCAGGTGGGAAAGAGGTTAGAGGATTGTTTCTGAGTGGTGAAGCTGCACCCAAAAATGAAGAGATGCACTAATGCTGCACTTCAAGTTTTGTTGCTGTTGTTTCACGCAGAATTACACAATCATCCGGATTACTACAGTGCAGCATGAACTCCATCAACTGAAGAAGAAGCTAGATGATGCAAAAATGAAACTCATAATAGAAATTAAGGTACTCTGTCTTTTAATTAGAACAGTCAAAATGTGACAATATATAAAAAAAATCAGAACTTCCCCATTACTAGATGATGTAATCATTTGCTAAACAGTTCTTTTATGCTGTTAGTTTTAAGGKGTTAGGTGTTGCAATTTTGTCACTTGAGCCAAATTACTCCAGAGCATCAGGTTATCAGATKATTTGGAATGTATGGCATTCAAAAAACTTAGATACTCAATGTACTATGTAAGCTAAGGTTCACAGTCTTGTTCATAATGTTCCCATTTCATTCAAAAGGTAACTGAAGAAATACACCTGGTTTGGTGAGGCACTGATCAGTAATAAATAGACTGTGGCTAAAGAAAAGAAATGCTATAAAGGAAAAAAAATCAACTAAAAAAAGAAAAAGAAAAAGAAAGAATGGTTCTCCAAGCAGATGGCAGACCTCTTCATGTGCTTTATTCCATATCAGTACTGCCTATGACTTTTTGGAAGGAAGATGATGGTACAGGCCTTCACACTGGATAGCTTTCCAGCATTGAAAGCTTGAAATTGGAGTGCTCTACATTACAGAGGTTGGCAATACCCCTGTTTACGGGGTATCCCAGGGTGGATCTGCTCATTATGACTCCTTCATTGYCTAGCAAGGAATGGAAAGAACAATTAATTTTGCAGTTGTCTCAAAAACATCAAGGCAAAGTACAAAACAAAGTAGTGCAAGAACTAGGCTATCTAATTAGACATGTAAAATTTTAAAGATGAAAGTTGTATCCTGTATTCAGCCATCCTGTATAAAATTCAATCTGTTATATAAACTTGTATGCATGTCAGCTCCAAAAAAAGCTTCCTTAAATTGCCATTCCTTAAATTCTGGGTTCTTTTGCAGATGAGAAAGCAGGCAGCATCTGATTTAYGAGCACTGAGAGCGGAACTGRCACYRAAGATTCATTCAGCTTTAATTCTCYAGTCCAGAAGATCASGAGTTTAAGATGACATGACTAACATCTGTGAAGTCTACAGCAGCTCTCTAGTGTATATAGAATTTCAGAGCATTCATTTGTATGTTCTTGAAGGTATCATGTAAAAAGTCATTAAYTATATAAATGTGGAATTTGTATATTAGGCTACTGAGGCAGTGCAGCTTGCTTCTTTTTAAATCTCATTCTTACTGTAARATTAGTCACATACTTAAACATACAGTTTAAGCTAGTAATGTGTCTAAAACTAAGCTGTTATTTTTAAAATGCAAATTAGTTAAGTGTGTGATAGCCCAGTGGTATGCTGATGTTCTTTRATTAACTAAACAGCTACTAAGCAAATAAACCTAAAATCTGTAACCTGGTTCTTATTTTCAGGCACACACATTTCATTTTTGGGAAATTATTAAAATATAGCTGCTGTAGAAYTACAGCAAGAGTAATCCTTTATTTAGCTCTTTACTGGTGTATGTTTGAGCATTATGCCTATCTATAAATTACCAATGTATCATTACYATATTATTATGAAGAATAAACAAAATCACAGATAATCTCACTTTATGTCATATCTAGCTGGTTTTGTTCTCTCTCTTATTAGGAAAGCCTGTCTTAGGCTGTCTTAGGTAGTTTGAAAGCTTGCCTGAAAGCTTTCTCTTGGACCAGGATAATATTGCATATTCTGTCTCTCCTTAATTCCAAGATCAAGCAGGTGCTGAGATTAAGAATTCTGTGAAAGAAGAATCAGAAACCTCTTCATAGCATTTTTTCTCTAGCTCTTCTGTTTGCCTCTTTGCAAACCAGATGTTATTATATTAAGCAGAAGAATAACTTGCTAGGTATTAATCTCAGCTAAAAAGCTGTCAAGGCTGTATTTATTACTGGCAGTGAAACACTCATGGGAAATAAGTTATGATCAGAAAATTATGCAGCTCTCAAAAGGACTAACTTTGAAATGTCTTAATTCAAACCACCCATTACCCAATTAATTTTTTATAGCTAGGACTTTACAAAGATTTTAGTGCTAAAGCATTAAGTAAATTGTTAAAATTACACCTACTTTTGCTTAATTCRCGGTTGAAGCTCACATTTTCTATTTCAGAATTATGTCTTATTTAGGACACAAGAGTTTGCTACTAGCTGCTGGAAAATCAAAACCTGAATTTAAAATATAATATCATCAATTCMGGATTCTTGCCTGCTGCAGGAAAGAGAGTTTTATTATTAAATCATCTGTCCCTCCGTTAGAATTTTGCAGGTCAGATACTCCAGAAGACTCTTAATTCAGCAAATAYCCATCCAGTATTTAAGCATGTAAGTAGTGATACACATTCTGAAGTACGCATGTGTGTATGTATGTATGTATGTGTATATATATATGATATAAAATCTGGCAGTTTCTCTGAAGACTTATAGAGCAGTGTTCTAGTGAAAAGCCTTCTGATTTGTCAAGGGAATTTTTTAGTTTCTGCAAGAAGGCTTCACCTTCTGCTTTCCATCACMTGTAGTCTAAAGCAGACAATTCAGATGAAGTCATCAATTCTTTTTCTCAGTAGCCATTATGGCAGTGCTGCCATACTATGGTAACTCCTTAGCAAGCAAAAAAACCCAACCAATCAAACAAAAAACCCCAAAAACTCCCCACCCAAACAAACCAAAAAACCCAYCAAATCCACAACTGACTACATCTACCTAATTAAATCCATTTTGTAATTAATGGAGTCATTTAAGCAGGGCCCGGTTGCACTTTAATCTGGTTGTGAAACAGTTCTGAGGAGCAGACAAGCAATGTGGGCTGTAAGCTGTAAAACAAGTAAAGCACAGACAGGCAACATTCTTTACAAGCCTTACCAAGAACAGCATTTTATTTAACAAAAAGTCCTGTAAACACCAGTCAATCTTTACATCACCATGGATATTTTAAAAAGTTACACAATTTCTCTAGGTAAATGATTTTATGAAAGTATGAACCAGAAAGAAAAATAACCTCCTATTATCTTGGAGGCAGTGCCCCATAAAAACAAAAATGAATGAATTGTAGTAGTGTGTGTAAAAAATAGATATGCAGTTCATGAAATAAGCTTCTGAATTCTAGTTTTCAGGAAATAAAGTAGTTTGAAATGGAAGAAAACATCATTCAAATCTTCGCCATAGTAATCTCTTCAAGATAAGGTCTGAATTTTTTTGCTTTTGAAGCTAAACAATTTATGTGATACAAAAGCACAGTGAAACTGGAGTTTATTGGGTATTCCTTTCTAACAAGAGGTTTGATATAAATCTTAATGGCAACGATTTCATGTTATGTAATTTCTTCAGTYTATAAAAATCTTTTAATCTAGAAGAGTAACCAAGCTGCATGTAATCAACAATCTGTCTCTCCAGTATTCTGTTTAATCTGATTCTAGAGTGGCTTAGCTAAAATAGAGGTTGGGTTGGGAAGTCAGAAGGCTGAGGCTGCACCATGTAACCCCAGAATGAATATTTGCTGCGCCTGGCAGCTTTAGCAAAACATCATTATGAGACTGCTACTGTAAATTCATCAATTGGTCTTGTAACCAGATACACACAGGGTTCAGCATTAACTAACTTACAGTAATTGTGAAAAATTAAAAAGATAAGCAGGCTTAAAAAAAACCCTACAGAAAAAGCAACATTGGAACTTTCTGAAGAATGGAAATAACAAGATTAATTTTCCTAGTTTTTAAAACTTTTGTAATCACAATATATTTATATAAATATCTGTGATAGTGTAAGCCAAAATAAAAATTASCAATTTTCAGAATTCTAAAAGAAGGGTTCACATAGTTTTTATGGTGTCAAAGCTTGCCACATTGCTTGAGTTTGTTGTTCTGCTACAGCTTCCCTTGAATAGTCAAGACTATTTCCATTCCACATGCCAATGCCCCTTAAACCTTGATTCTTCACATAYGCTGCTTTTAGAGAGATGCTGCGAGGGTCATCAAACCATACTTGGTGGTATTGACCAACAGAATCCTATAGAAACATTTAAACACTATGTCAGTGATTRCATTTTCTCTTGAACACACTTTAAAGTACAATTAAAAACTGAGATGTACAAGCTATGTAAATTTACACAGTATTTTCCTAATTTACTAATTATTTGTCAYGCAGGACAATTAAAAATTCTAAGTCAAATACTTGGCTATTTTTTACTTGTAGACTCTAAATTATAAAACAGTGACATGATTTAACTGAAGTTAGATGAAAAGACTTATCTAACTTGTATTTTAATATTTTTCAAAATATGGCTAAAATTTCAGATACAATATCTAACCTAACAGGTGAATTTAGTTACAAATTGTGGGGTTTTACAGGCAATAAACTCTTATAAAATTTTATCAAGGTTATGTTGCTTTTACTTGGTCATTGTTCACAGTATCTTTTAATCATCTACATGAGAAACTTAAATCATGTCTACAGAAACAAGACAAAATGCATATACTGGTGTTCTTGTAAGCACAGTCATTTATGGATTCTTCTACTGTATCTGTGTGGAAAACAAATGCAGAAGAGAATGCGCATGCAAGGCACTGAGCTAGAAAAACTTAAGAGCATCTCAGAATCTTCTTTAGTTTAAATCATTTATCAACACATAAAAGTAACTATAACATGGAACGAAGAAGCTAGAGGATGTTTGTGTGCCAAAATGTCYTTTTTGTCATGATACAGTATCAAAGGAAGACTGCAGAGTAATAAAGAACTTTATGACTCCTGCAGCCTTTAGGCACTGCACCCCTTTCAGACTTGGAATTGAAAACACAGAATTCCCTCAATCCTTTTCTATTAAAACAAAAGACACAAAAAACCCCAAGAAAACCAAAAAACCAAAACCAAGTAGAAAACATAAAAGGAAGAACCTAATTCTGATAACTTCATAGTCACAGATACATGGTTCATGAATGCTTACTCCACACCATGGTGTCTTGGAAAAACACTCTTACCTTGTACTCATAAAATGGAGATTTCTGTACCTCATCCCACAGCACCCCTGAAAGAGAACTGTTCACCTGCTTCATYATGGTTCCATAGGGAACTTGGCTCCCTGCAGCATCACTGCAAGGAGCCCCACGGAAAGGAACTTTGGGAAGTGAACAAACGTGATCCTGAAAAAAACACAGAAGGAATGAGTTTCATGTTAGATATACTGACCTCCAAAATAGAAGTATAGCCAAGAACAATTCACTAAAGGTATTAGGGCCTTGAAACCCCAAATCTTCAAGCAACTCTGGCAGATGCTATTTGTAGAGAAAAGTAAATTAAAATAGATACATTTTCTTTGCAGTAATACAGGATTGGATGGATATCATTCATCTTACACAGTTGTCTTATCTTTTCCACCTTTAATTGACCCTTACATTCTCCATAAATATAATATTTGAGACTTCATAGACTGCTATGCTGCAACAGTCATGGGTTTGCTATRGTTTGTTGCAGCTGTCTTTAAGTAGTGAAGTGTAAGTAAAGGTGTTGGGAAGGCACATACAAGTGTTGCAGGGCCTTTGAACATCATCTCTTCTCATACAGGCAACATTTATAGCTGCTTAGTCAAACACAGTGCTTGGATATCACAGGGTCCAGGCTGCCTAAGGAGCTAAAAGGCCTTGTCTGGTAATACACTGCTCATCAGTTATCAACCAAGCAAAAGATTCTGTGTCCCAGCTTTGTGCTCTTATCCATCACACCACAGTATTCCCTAGTCCAAAAACAAGATTATCAAAATATAGTTGTGTCTTTCCAAGGAAAAAACTACCAGAATTATTGCAAAGGAATAATGTTCACCTTACCGTGGAGAGGTTTTGGCAGACGTAGTCATAGCCATACCAGGGGACACCCATCACAAGCTTCTTGGGATCAATGCCCATAGCAATGTACTCTTCATATCCTAGTTTTGAGGGAAATAACAATTAACATGCATTATTTACTTTTCCTATGCTTTTTATTTTTATTACTAATCTAGAGCCAGAGCACTACAGGACTTGCAYGGCCCCCAGACAGAGGCCAAAGGATCAGGGACACTGTTTTCACATTAGGACAACACATATCTGAACACACTCAAAAGCCTCACTGCAACAACAATAACAAAATTAACCTAAGAAAAGGCAATCTTTTCTGTCTGCTGGAAATGTTCTGACTTCTGGGGAGGCATTTTGTCCTCACCAACTAAAGTCTGCAGGTRAGGAGCATTGGCCTTTGCAATACAGTCKGTCCAGATCTGGCTCTGTTCATCRTATGACATCACAAACAAGAAGTCACAGGYATCTGCAATCCCAGTGTAGTTGTAGCACCTTTTATCGATGCATGCTGGAGACCAAGCCACATCAAATGTCACCTGAAGGAAAAATGCACAACTTGGTATCATGTATGGCCCTTAGGTGCCCTTGTTATCCCTTTAAAATAAAATCTGTAACTTTTGAAGACAGTATTTCCCAAATGCTGCTATTTAGCACACGTTGACAGTAATGAACTATAGAAGAAGCTGCTCATCTGATAAACACAAGCCAATAAAGTGAGTACCCCATTACTAAATATATAGCAAGAAAGAAATTAAAATATAATACGAAAACTGCCAAAAGTATGAAGCACGATGCAAATACTTAAAACTTTAGTGATGGGTTTACCAAAACACTGTCAAGCTTTCGCCCCAGAAGGCTGTATTTGCCCTACTTTCAGGGACTCATTATGCCATACTAATAACAGCCAGCTCACACATGGCAGTAACATTGTATGTACAAATCTCAGAGAAGCCCCTCTCTCATTTAAATTCATACRGATCAAAAAGAGTGATTCGTACAAGATCGTATCCCACCTAACATTCATAATTAAGCATTCACTAGAATATTGTATTTAGATCTGCATAAACTTTTTCATAGTCATATGCTAAACAGTACTGCCAAAAATCCTTACATTTCATAAGGTTAAATGTAATGTTTGTATAAAGTACATTATTATTACCTGTGATCCTGCTATTTCTCTGTGAAAAGCATCTGTAGTTTCTTTAACAAGCTSTGTCAATGCATAGTACTCAGGGGAGCTTTCATTAACTTCCTGCTCTATATCTAAGTTAATTCCATCCATATACTGTTTTTTAGCAAGGTCCACCTGCTGGGATATCCATGCTGCTCTTTTAGCAGGGTCAACAATGTCCTTAAGAGGTACATCACCTAGACAAGAGGCCTTCAAGAGTTAATTTGCACCACAATAGTAGTAAGGAGGAAAGCTTTGTCTTTAATTAACCAACAAATATAAACACTGCATTAAAAGTGCCCATACCAATATTGGTAAAACACAAAGGAGTTAACTTTTTTCCCAAACATAATTTTGAGAAACCACCCCAGAAGAGATTACCAAGCTTCTTTGAGGCAGTAGTGTTAGAATTAAGTTTCYTTAGGTTTTCTATAATTAGAATCTTCTTACTTCTGCTTAATATTCTTTTAGCCACTGTAAACTACCTTTTGTTGCAATCAAAGTACTTTTAGCATTTCCACCAATCCTATGTAGATAAAAACCACTTTTGTGTTTAACCTTCGTTGCTTTCCCCAYTGTAGTCTTGGATTCTGTTTCTTCTCAACAGAGCCAAAAGGCATTACAACATGTAAGCTGCAATGGACTTTGTCTTTCTAATCAGCATTTGTACCTGCAGAGTTCCTGAGTACTCATGTTTTAAAACTCAACCATTTCCTAACACAGAGGGACTGATTTAAGTGCAAAATGCTAAAAATTACTTAAAATCCCTTTCCTTGCTTTGTCTTTCGGGTACTCCACATAAGATCCAGAATCCAAACTCAAATAGCTAYCTTCTACAGGCTTTTTCTTTCCTCCCTCTTCCTCCCTAGTAGTAATGTTCCTTGTTAAAGAACTTTTATTTAATTGTCACTGGAATGGTTTTGATACCACTGTGGCCACGGCTGGTTGAAAACAAGCCACGGCTGGTTTCGATACCCTGCATACCAGCACATGCAAAATGTCAAGGTATTACRGTCCTGAGTTCACGAAAGCCTTATTAATCAATCCTCTGATTTTAATACTCTGCATACAACTAAATGCAAAATGTCAAGGTATACACTCCTATGTACCTTATCTTCTTATTAATGTATCATAAACAACCACATTTTTCCGATGTAACCAACCTTTCAGTACTACCCTGGAGCCTTTCGAGTGGGCATAGCACATGAGCTCGGGATCGTACTTTCCAAAAGCTGCCACAGTGGTAATTTTTGACCAGTCGTAGGATTTCCAGCTTTCCTTCCCCACATCAAACACAAAGACCTGGAAAAGGGTTAMAAAGCACCCTCGTTAGCCCCGAACACTTGTCAGCAGGACTATGGAAGAGCCGCGTGTAAAACCAAAAACGGCGCTGGCAATGGCCCGCAGGGATGGCTGCCGGGGAGCCGTGTGCGGACAGCCCGAGCACTGCCCCACACCCCAGCCCACCCCGGGGACAGTGCCCGGCTCGGGCCGAGCTCAGGCGGCTCCAAGAAGGAGCGGTGCCCGGGGCGCTGAACCTGCCGCGAACGGCGCTGCCTCGGGCCCCGCCTGGGCCGCCCGCGCCCGGGGCCCGCCCGCACCTCGAAGGCGGCGGGGSCCGTGATGGGCTGGCACAGCCGCGGGTCCTGGCAAGGACAGGCACCGGCGGGGCCCAACAGCTGCAGGAGGCCGATGGGCAGCAGCCACCCGCCCCACGGCTGTCCCATGGCTCTGATGCCGGCCCGGCCGCGCAGCCTCGGCCCCGGAGCGGGCTGAGCCCTGGATGGGCCCGCCCTCGGCGCGCCGCGTGTGAGGGACAAATGAGCTCGGCCGAGCACGTTCACAGACAAAGTGTTTATTGAAAGGTCAGCCCGGGAGCGGTGCCCGCGTTGTTTCCAAGATCTCCGTCACAAGAACCGAGGCAGAGCGGTCTCCCGGTGGGGACAGGGCYCATCCCCGCTGCCCGAAGCAGCCGTGTGAGCCGAGCCGGAGCGGGTCCGAGCGGGGGCTCAGGCCCGGCACTGCTGCGGGCAGGAACACGCCGTGTGAGCGGGGACCGAGCTCACGACATCCTCGGATTTCTGGTCCAGCCGATGCTGCTCGTCCAGGCTGAGAGCGGAGTCTAAACGAGAAAGCGGGAAGAAAAGCGGGTTTGATTATATGTCGGGGTACTCCTGTGTTAGTACGGTGAACCTCACGGTTTTTCTGAATCCCACTCAAAAATACTGGCCGTGTTGTGCACAGAGACTCACCGGCTGGAACGCAGTGAAAGCCCACAGAGACGGGAACAGTCTGGGTGGCTGAACAGCCTTTTACACAGCGAAGAACTGGCTCCACAGAGAAGCATTTTGTTGCTGTCTTCTCAAATGAAACTGGCTTCTCACTTTTGACAAATCTGCGCTGCAGCTTACAAGCTACAAAACATGAACCTTCTTAAAGCGTGCACTGAGTTTGGATAAATAACTTTCTGGACTTAAGTTGCAGAATTAGCAGACACTAAGACCATTGGATGAACAAAGTGATGCATGCTAGATGAACTTATCTGGTTGAAGTGAATCAATTTTCTGTCAAAGGCTTGGGCTGTGGGAAAATGAAGCACGTAGAGCACAGTCACAAGGACAGAGGTTTGTCAGATGGGATCTAGGTGTGRCAGTGATGTCCAAATCCAAAAAGATAGATGTAAAGATGTTGGACAACTGACACTCAACTTTACCTAAACTAAGACAGCACTTCATTTCAGGGCAGTAGTGGCTCCTAGACATTTGTACATCCACTTCTGCACTGTGAGCAGCATCAGATCTGCCTTGCCACAGCTGAGTATCTTAGTCCTTAAGCCTATGATCCAGGCTTTCCTGGACCAGTCACCCCAGGGAAGTTTGGTCTAAGAACATATTACAAAAATGCCCCGAGGGTTGTGTTCCACGCTAAATATGTAATGCACCCTAATGTGACCAACACAGTCATGTTGTTTTCATGTAGGCCCTGGACAGCAAGATCAATCATTCCCAGGCTGAAGGTTTCAAATTATGTTAATCTTCAGCCTGAAGAAATGAAAGCAAATTTTTCCCACTTCAAATGCCCTCTAGTTTGATAGCCAGGACTAGATATGAGTTTTTAATAGAAACTAAAAGCCTGGACATAATAGAAATAAAATAAATAATGAAACTATTAAAGATGACATAAAATTACTTTTGTCAACAGTCAAAGTACCTCCTTTTCATACTAAGTTATCATCTTGGGAGTTTTAAATTCAACACAGAAACTCCAGGTCATTACACAATGCATACAGATACACATAAAGAAACCAAAACAAAGCCAGAACTTGCAGTGAACTACCAAACAGGAAAACCAGATTTTTTTTCTTCATTTAGTCTGCAGCCACAAAAACAGCAAAAAATGAGGTGATTGTGCTACAATTAMTATTCATGTGACTAATTAATTAGTTGAAGACAATGATATTAATATATGTTAGRATCTTAGTACCTCCAGCACAGGGGTCTTCTGAGATGATCCAAGAGTGACCAAAACTCACAGCATCTTTAGCTAAATATCCACTGGGTGTTTGATATTCTCTTTCTGTCTCAGCATCATATTTTCCACAAATGCCACATGTTTTCCCAGCCATCCAGAAAGCAACTTGAATCTTTGTCAAAATACAGAAAAGTTGCATGTAAAATATTTTCTTCTAAAAATAAACCCACTGAAATTAACTAAAAAATTACCTCAAGTCTATGCCCATCATAATATAGTTTATCTATGCCATAATCTGGGGCTTTTAGTGCCAGTCCTTTCTTTTCACTGCTGATCAGCATGCTTGCAGCTGCAACAAAAAAGCAAAATATGATCTTTTCTAAAATGAAGTTACTGGTTTAGKGTCCACCCTGAACCATTTGTTAAGTTCCTGGGGTCATAATGCACATTCTAAAGGATCTTGAAACAGATGGGGGGAAGGAGAAAGATTACTGCTCCCTGCCCTGAGAAAAGCTGAAGCCTGTTACAAGGGTGGCTGTGACAGGGGACATCTARATGCTCATTCTGTGGGTCTCTGGGATCAGCAAAACATACCACAGCCCTGCATTTTTTGTTCTGTACAAAGATGCACAGGATAAGCATCTCTTTCTTTGTTCGTCTTTCTCGCCACCCACTATAAAAGCTTGTGTGCAGGTATGCTAACATCACCTAATGGTTTCTCAAATTACCATCATCTTTTATCGTGTGAGGTATTTGCAGGATCATGTCCTTTCCTTCTTCAAAAGATCAGGAAAGATTAAAAGAAACACAAAGATGAGTCTCTTACCAGAATTAGATGTGTATGGAAGATCTTTTGGGGCTTGGACACCATTAATCTTCAACTGGATGAGTCCATCGGAAACATACATGTCAACCTCACTTTAAATAAAGGAAATTAGTGTAAACAAATGCTTCTCTTTTGCCCTACTCAGCTCATAATTTCCTGTTCTGGTAGAACCATCACTGCAGGATGCTCATGTCAGTCTGGCATGAATGAAGATTGAAGGGGCCCAGGACAGCATGCCAGGAGGAGTGCTCCCAGTACACCTTTGCCTGGCTGTRCTCATCTCTGAATGGCTCCTTGTGGCCACGGTTCAGGCAGGAAGAAACCAGGCTACAGGAGCATTGCTACAGGACAACCTAACTGCTACTGCCTTCACATCGATTGAAGGTGCTCTGCATTTCAAAGGAAGATTGGGTTCCCCACGGCACTTCTCTTACAGYCTGAACAGTCTGTATACTGTGATATTTTCTTCAGCTAATGAAGAAATACAAAGCTCAAGCACATCAAAAGCACATCCATACAATTGTATGAAGCAATCAGGAATTATTCAGTGATGAGGAATGTCTTTATCATGAAAGCTACAGTCTATAAAAYAAGCATCCTTGTGTTTTTCCACAAAACAGGTGCAGGGAATAATAGATTCTGTTTTTCTGACATTATGCCACAGTTGGGCACACGTTTTTCAGAAATAAATAATTACTTGTAATGAAACATTGCAGATCAAAGTCTATTTATGTGCTTTGAAGAACACTCACTACAATGATTTTAGCATGCATACTCCCATACAATTTAGGGGTGATTGCTCCAGGCTGAAACAAAGTGTGTCTTAAAAGACTTTCAAATAGATTAGAACATTAAGTACCAACTAAGAGATGTCCTAAGAGAGTGCCTCTAATCTGGGATAAGTAATGCCCTTTTTATCTATGTCCACTTCTCAGCAGTCCTGCTCTAATGAGTGTGGGTTCTAATTTGTTCTAATTATTAGCTTAGTGTAGAAGGCCAGACTAATGATTACAACAGCTCCTCTTGGATCTRTAGTTTATGTGTCTACCTAATCACAAATTACTGAAATGAGATGGTTSAATTCTAACAAATTAATGAAGAATTTGGGGCAGGAAAGGCTTTAGGTTACTGTGAACCTCAGATATATTTCAAAAGCACTTCTAAAAGACAAAGTCCCAAACCCCAGTGGCAGTCTTAGATATCTTTCCATTGAGATCATGCAGTACTTTCTGCATGAATCTAATGCTACCACCAACCTGCCCTACCAATTTGATCTTCATTTATAGCATATACGGCTTGGCATCTATTTTTTTGTTAAGTTTTCAATTACTCACTGACTGGCAAGTCTGACATTTATTGCTATCAGGTCAGCAGACTCTTCAAGTCTTTTCACCATCACCAGGAATTTAAGCTCTGGACTACAGTCTTGCACCAAGACATGGTAGCAATTTGCAGGCATYKYRTAGTTAAATTCAATGCCATTGAARGTTGTGATCTTATGTTGGAAAACTKTACAATGACCTGAAAAAGAAACAGTAAAAAGTAAGCATTTTACAATTTATATAAGACTGCTATTTATTTTATTTTTGTAATTAAAAGAAAAAAAACATCTTGTGGTTCTACATGTTCCCATGTAGAAGTGAATTAATTCTGTCAGACAAAATATTAGATTTGTAGTAATACAAAAGAAAACTTTGCTAGTCTCCAGGCAGCAAAATCCACCCATGATTCAGCCATTGTGTGAGATGAATTCTGCTCACAGCTGGTGCTGGTGCAACTCTCTACAGCATTTTGGCTTTTCTTACTTTTATGTCGTAAAAAGAAGTTCACAAAGGTTGATAACAATTCACATATTGTTAATGCTGGAGGAAGTTCACTAAAATGCTGATATCTGTAAGTCATAACCAGGATTAGAAATAGTTAGAAGATGGGGAGGAAAAAATACCTCACTACAGTTTTCTCTTTTTCACTGTAGTGGTATTGTGTTGGAAATACTACCAGCTCTGATTAGAAATCRTTTTACAACAATTTTCATTAATACAGATTAGTTTTGGTGTTTACCAAAGAAATACCATAGAATCATAGAATGGCTTGAGTTGGAAGGAACCTTAAYGATCATCTAACTCCAACCCCCAWMACAGGGACTGTYATATGGACAGGGACACCATATAAATATGCATGRTATGATATTAGCCTGCTGATTCCAAGCAAAATGTGACTTATTGCGGGATTACATAAAGCTTTTCAATTTAAAATTTACCCTAAGTAAGTATAATGTGATTAGCTCTTAATACAGCATTAATCAAACAATAATCCCTTCAAAATCTAAGTACAGGCTTTGAAATGAATGGGTATACTCTTGAAGCTGTTTCAGCTTCTACGTAACAGTGCTAATCAAGCAGAGCACCCCAAATCAGGGGTCACTGAGATGTCCCTCTCACAAATTTTGTAACGTATTTCCTTCATGAACAATTTCTGCAGTGAAGCTSAAATGGATGCATTTGGGAATGGATGTCTTTGGAAGCACTATTTGGGGTGGAACAAAATGTTTAATCTTCCTATTATGTCTCCTTTTCTTTACATCTTTGCAGCCTCACAGATTTTCATACAGATGTTTTATTTCTATCCAAAGTCGAACTCATTTTTTAAGTAAAAAGAGTAAAA